CCCCAAAACCCCAAAACCCCAAAACCCCGATTGAAATCATTAAGATCAATATTAAGAAATAAAAGATTACTTATATATTCACAGTTCAGTTTATTATCAGAAAATTACTTAACTTAGTTACACTTTGGTCAAACTTACTAGGGAGTCTCTTATTTTGTAATCAATTATTGTTATAGCTAATGAAACTTGTGGAAAAATCTTCAAAAACATTGTTGATCTTGGCCATTCTGAAATCACCCAGTGGCTTCATTTTAGTTCTTTTGTTCTCTGGAGATGGGGAGGAAGAGTCAGTGTAGGAGCGATCGAAAAAAGCCACCTTTTAAGGAGAACCAATTTGCTACTTTTTCTTTTGACTCTTTGAAAAATACTAGAGATCTAAGTCATTTTAAAGTTTTGGCAGAAATGGAGGAGTGAGTTCCTTGTTCTTAACTTTGGTCCAGTTTATTGACTATCCAAAAATTAAGAAGGGATTAAAGCTTACTCTGAAAAATTTATGAGACTTGATGTCATCCAGAGTTATTCTAAGGTTAGGATCAACTACGAATATCTTCGACAGCAGATCTTTTGTCCAAACATCCATTAAAGCACCATATGTTGGCTAGCATGCCAAGATCTTTTCATATATAGCCTAAGTGTCACTATCATGGAATGGTGTCACTCTATATATATAATAAGTAGATGCTACACTTACCCATTAACTAATTCACAAATAAGAACACCTAATGCCCAAATATCAGCTTCAAATCCATGCCCTATCCCCATGATTACCTCAGGAGATATATAGGCTGGTGTCCCACAATTCGTTTGCGTTCTAAGTTGCTCACTCCCAGCAGGCTAGAATTACTTAGCAAATCCAAAATCTATTAATTTAATATGGCCGTCCTTTGCTATCATTATATTTTCTGGCTTCAAATCTCTGTAAACCACATTCATATCATCTATAAATGTTAATGATCAAAGTACAACACTTACTGTGCAGATAATCTAGAGCTGATATAACTTCCGCCAGGTAAAATAACAAAGTCTCCTGTGATGCGGAGGTTATAATATTCATACTTCTGATTTGAGTGAGTAACTCGCCACCTTGCAAATACTCCATTATAATGTACAGATTGATGTCATCTTGAAAACTCGCATGCATTCTGACTATAAATGGAGAGATAACTTGCATTAGTATGTCTTTTTCTCTCTTTATGTGCTCTATCTGTTTACTTCGCATGATCTCATCCTTCCTCATTATCTTGAGAGCATATAACTTTTTATTGTCAAGCTTCTTAACTAATTTTACTTCGCCAAAGTTACCACTGCCTAGAGTTTCTAGTATCTCGAAGTCCTCAATCTTCAAGTTGTCGTCTTTCATAGACTTAAGTTGAGAAACATTGTTAGAATGTAGTTGATTCAAAGACTCTTTGGCCTTTATAGCAACACTACCTCTTTGATGAGTTGACTTCTGTTTTTTAAATATGAGATGTGTGTCAAGATTATCAAGAGTATTTACAATTGTTGATGACTGTTTTACCATCTCAAGTACTCTCTCAGCTTACTTCATCTATTTTTGGTTCACATTATTTCTTTAAATCTAAGGCTTGATCTCAACTTTGAGTCCTGATTAATTTTAAAGGCCTCTTTGAGTAGTTGTAACTTTTAGAAACTTCCCTTAGTTTTATTAATAGGGCTATTCACTTTTTACTATCAATGAGTTCTTAAGTATTTCAGATGTGTCATTGGAGCTCATCTTTTTCCTACCACTCTTTAAACTAAAATTATGACTTCTTTGCCCAATAGTTGGTGCATGTGAAAATGATAAGGAGTGCTCATTTTGTTATATTGGCTCTATCTGATCTCCTCCTGTTTCTTTAGATATTCTCTGATACACAAGATTAGGCATATTCTTATTTAAATATTAAGAAGCACCTATCTGCTTTTGCAATTCATAGTATGTCTATTTAAGGTCTTATTACTACTGCTTAAGGTGTTCATTCACTTTCAAAGCTGTGCTTTTAATAAAGTTTGACTAATTTTCTGCTATTTATTAACTGTTTTCTGGGAGATGAATGTTGATGTTAGATATTATATTGATCTGGATGTTATTAGGAATATCAGAGATTACTCTCTTACTTGATCTTTATCTCAATTGAGAGGACTATATAGTATTTCTTGAAGCATTTCTATGAATGATTAAATTAGGGTCTACACCATTACTATTTTGATTTGCTCCAATGCCTCGTTTCTTAGTATATGAACTTAGCTGAAGTGATCTTCTTTCGATTGGTAAGATCTAGCTCTTCTTGCGCTCATTGATAAGTGCTATGTCATGATTGTTAATTGACACATTATTATCTTTTGGAGAAACATTGTCAAAGATGAGCTTTTTTCTATGGGAGTTACGCGATTGCTGATTAGCATGAGATCTTGATACATGAGGCTACTTTGATATATAAACTTGCTCTGGGATAACTGTAGACTGAGCATAGGGTATCTTCGATGTTTTACTTTGATCTAGCTGTTTCTTGATTTTCTTTTTGCTAGTATGACTCTTTTTAGCCTTTGAGTGGCTTTTATCTATATTTTTAAAAAAGATTAGAAATAGATTTAATGATTTTACTGTGGTCATTGAAATTAGCATTACTCATCTGGTTCAACATCATAAACGAGTTTTCTTATTAAAGCTTATATTCATCTGAAGAAATTTTATCTAGATTTATAGGCATCGGCACTCTATACTGCTATTGCTAAATCTATGTATTAATTTATGATACTCTGTTGTCTTGGGAAATCGAGTCAAGTAGTTGCTTCCCTGATTTTTAAGGCTGACTCTAGGGCTGATGAGTACTATGGGAAATTGGTAAGCTCCCAGGACCTTAGGTTATGAGTGGATGAGGTTAGTTTTTATCTAACAGTGATTGTACCTTTTAATTTATACTGGAGAGCATGCTTGGATCGAGTTACTGCCTTTTGCAGGAATTAGTGTTAATGAAGGTAGCTTTATGTACAATCATGTTCCCTGTGGTTGACAATTGACTTTGATTTGAAGATACTCCGCCAGTTTCATAGATTTACGTTGGAATGGAAGGATTAGGGTGTTCCGAGTTGATATTATATCTGCTCTATCGTCGTTGATTGATAACCTTGGACACAAACTACCTAGACTCTACCAGCTATGGGAAATACCTCATAGCTTACTGCTGATAAAAAGACTGGTCGTTGCTATTTTTATTAAGCATGGCCTACAGAGAAGCATCAAATATTAGTGCCTGGTGCAGTTTCTTATTATTTATTTGTCGCTTTGAGTTTATTGTGTTCGATAAATTTAGCTGTGGCGCAATAGCAATACTCTAAGGGTTGATCTAGGGATTGAGAGTCTGGCTGTTTTAAGAATGAAATTAATCAGAGTGATTTTGCTTGATAACGTTGAAGCCATTTGAGAGAGAGGCTTACTAATTATAGTTTTGATCAGGCTAGCCATTTGAGGTTGACCTCTGCTAATTAGTTGACATAGAATTAATATTTTTCTTTATTATAAATTTTAAAGTATCAATATCTGCTTTGACAATCGTCATTCTACTGGGGTTTTGGGGTTTTGGGGTTTTGGGG